CAGCTACTCAGCATGAAGGAGAGATTTGCGCCAAGAAGAGTTGTGCCGAAGCGCCGAGATTAGCGTGGGACAGAACTTTTGTGAGGCACCTCCGTACCAAGAGTGAGATCGAAGACAAAGACCACCGTGTCGGTAGGTGCGCATGAAGCAGAACATAGAAAGGGTGCTTGTCTTATATGCATATCCTACATGTGTATACGTGTATGTGTGTTGTTACAGAGTCGTGAATACATTAAGTGTTACAAGTAGGACTCTTATAGAGCCCCTTGTCGACGTTGCGGTTGTCAGGCAACTGTGGACGCTTGGCCGATTCCGACATTTAGGCGGGTGGGGATCTAGGCTTCCTCGTGCCAATATTATATCCCCAGCTCCTCAGGGTTTTTACGACCTTGGGTAGTACGGCGGCAGTCAGTGGCACGCGGAAGAAGATTAGAGACTTGTGAACAAGGTAAGCTAGACCAAGTTGGGTCCAGATTGCTGCAATTCTTGTCAGCCACGGCCATATGTTCACAATAGAAGGAGGGGTTCTGCATACAAGCGTTTGCGCCACCATTGTGTCCAGCAGCCCTTCCAGCTTCCACATAACCGTCTCTGTCAGTGGCTTCTGCAACGCCTTCATCTACACCTGCTTCGGCTGGCTTTCTACCCGCGTTGGGAAAAGCTAGGCGCACCACGCTCCAGAGCGCATCCTTCAGCACATGCTCATAGTGGCCAATTCTATCGGTTCCAAGCAGGCGCACTGCTAAGAAGCAGAGGGGGAAGTCGAGGAGGGACAGGCCCAAGTATACGGCAAGCGCGGTCCAGCCATACTCGCGAGAAAGCTTCTTGAGCCGCTGTGATACAGAAGGAGCTGGCTCTGGGCTACCTAAGTGGGGTGTGGGGTTGTGCGACTGGGCGTTGGGCCTGTCACTCTTGAAGCGAAGGGAGCGGAAGCGGCGGGCGAGGGCGGGGCGCTGGTAGCGGAAAAGAGAGAGGGCGCTTCGCTCGATGGTCTCATTGACGGAGCGCAGGGGGGCCGTGGGTAAGGTGGAGGTGAAAAAGTTGCGCAGGAAGGATGATGCTGGCTGTACTGTGCGGCTTCTGGCAGTGAGGCGGAACAGCAGCTGGTCAGGCTTGATGCGTGCGACGCGTGGCTTCATTGCATGAGTGGCTCAGGAGGGTATAGGTGAGTGAAACGCTACTCACGTGGGCGTCAGTCGTTTCAGACTCGGATACGGCGTGTGGTGTTCCAGAAGTTCATGCCAAAACCGACGTCGATGCAGCGTCACTGGAGCCTAGGATTTTGGGCCGGGGTAGGCCACCGGAACAATGGTTTTGCCAGGTCCGACAAGTGTTCCGCTGCCGAGCGCCCCATTCCGCTCGGGGAGACCGCAAGAGAGTGGATTGACCCATCCGGACCACGAGATGGTGCGTGGATTATCAATAGTATCATGTTGCATGTGCATGTGCATCTGCCCGAGGAAGACAACGTAGTGCCGGCCCGCGATCGACCGCTGAGGGTCCGATACGGAGCCGCACGACGCTGAGCCGCGCGACTATCAAAGACATCGTGGCAGCGGATAACGGCCCTGTCGGATGCATGCCCTCGTCTCGAAGGCCAGTCAGGGTAGGACAGGGAAGGACAGGGCACGCAAGACCTTCCTTGGGTGGCGGCATTCCAAAAGTGCAGCGAGTTTGATGGCCGGACGAAGGACAATGGACAGATACTCGACTTCGGTGACGCGGCCATGCTCGGCGCTTCGACCCCGAGTTGCGGAGGTGGGCAGGCGTGTGATGAGATGGTGTCTGAAGTGCAAGCCGGAAGGCGACGAGACAGCAGATCAAGGTTCCCTGGTGGCGTGAGGCATAGGTGGCGGCGGAAGCGAAGTCAAAGGCCCAGGAACGTTTCGACTGTGGTTGCCAAATCGGACCCCAATCTCTCTCCATCAACACGCATGGTCTCCAGGGAACCATGGTGGCGGCGCATTGCCGTTGGCACCATGATCCAAGAGAAGACCAGGTTACTGCCGTCTTGTGCAGCTTCGCGCAGAGCTGGTTGACAGAAGCGTCAGCGTGCATTAGCCGGTGGATGGACAAGATGTTCGTCTGGAACTCTGGAAGCGTGTTTCCCTCCCAAACAGCTGTTGCAGGCCTCGTCGGAATAGGCCTAGCTCGATGCTCTCGTTGCAGACGGAACGTGGGCGCACACACACACACACACACACACACACACACACACACACACACACGCATGGCCTGCATGCTCGACTCCTTCACGCTCGCTTGCTTATTATGACCACCATTACGGTACTTTACCAGGGGGCTGGTCAGTCAGGCTTCCGGGCGCGCTTGAGCCAACCCAGGCATGTGGCGCGGCCGCCCGCCAGGTGCTGGCCTTGTTAGTCACTGTTCTTAGTACTTACTGTAATACGCGCGCGTGTGTGTGTAAGTATGGTGTGTACAAAATGCCACTACTATCACAATGGATTTGGGCTATTGCACCGGCATCGACGATCGCGTGCCGTGCTCGAGTGGACAGAGGATGCATAGCGAATTCTAAATTGCGGGGCAGCAGGCGTAGTTTTGTGTATAGGGAATGAGCAGTGCGGGACCCACGCTCAGATTCTGTTCGCAAACCTGTTCGGCGGTAGCCATGACCGCCCCCCCGTTGTGGAACAGGAGAGGACTTCATTTGCCCAAGTTTGCCCCAACACGACCGTTTCACGACTGCATGCCTTGTCATTGTGGCCGAGCACGGGCTCGTGTCCGAGTAATGGGAGTGGGTGGGCACCCATTCGGGACCGAAAAGGTCTTGGAACGACGCGATGAGAGTGGTGAAGGGCGTTGGAATCCTACGGACACAGCCGGCCTCTAACAGCGTCCAACGTCTTAATTAGCCTAATCCGTTCTGACAAGGTATCACTCATGACGCCCCTGGCCTTTGTAGTCGGCGACTCATTCGTTAGTAGCAAGCTCATGCCTGGCGACGAGGGATGCTTCCATTCCGGGGGCTGTTGGCAATGCTGAATTGCCTCATGGGGAGAGAGGATGCAGGGTATGACGGCACGGCCAGTCAATTAGTCAGTCAGTCAGCCAGTCCGACCGTCCGTCCGACGGGCAGTCGGCCAGTGCAGCAGCGGTCATGCTGGGAGCGTAGTGGTAGGTAGGTAGTAAGAGGGTACTTAGTAGCACTCGGTATGGGCGAGTGTCGGCAATGGTGGTTGTGCTCGTTGTCGAGTGCAGGCATATAGCTCGCCCCTTCACATTCTCCTATAACTGTGTCAGAGACAGTTGCAACACGGCTCGGTGACTTGATTGCGAGGCCATGCGAAGGTTTGCAAGTTGAAGAATTAAAGTTTTCGGCGTGGCCACACCCCTGCAACCGCACCAGTCTCAAACCTTGAGGCCGACTTTAGGTGCTGAGCTGACGAGTGACGGGGACACCATTATTCATTTACCTGGGCGCGGTGGGTGTGGTTGCAGTCGCAGGCGCTGGCTGATTGGCGGCAGGTCACGAGCAGTTCCTATTGCTACCGCTGTCCCAAGACATGGCACAAGGGTGGTTCCTTCTTTGAACGGCGCAGCAAGCAGTGTCGCGCCCATGGTGACCGACCGACCCCATCCCATCCCATCCCATGCGCGCCCCCCCTGCCCGCTCGGCTAAACTCTGGAGTTGATCTGCCCTGCCCCTGCCCTACCAGGCTACTCACTTAGCAGACAAGACTTACCAGGCTCCCAGGCTACCAGGCTCGCACCTGCCCGGCCCTTGCCCTTGCTTGCCCTTGCCTGCCCTTGCCCTCTTGTCCTTTGCGCTTGCCCCCTCTTAGCCCTTGCGCTTGCGCTTGCCCTGCACCTGCCAGGCCCCTGCTCTCACTCCCCCCTGCCCCCCTTGCCCTCCTCGGCGCCGTTGGCGACTTCCCTGCCGCCCAGGGCCCCGGCGCGCGCTTTCACATTGTTCGGCGGGACGATGCTGCACTCTGGTGTGTTACACCCATTCCTTCGCTTCACAGCTTGACAGCGCCCAAAACGGCACGCTCCCGGAGCCAACTGTTTGAGGCTTCGTCTAGGCTCATACCTTGCGTAGCTGCATGAGCGTCTTGCTCAGGATCTGCTTGTTTCTCCACGTGGATTCGTCTCATCGACGTGCCTGCCTGTTAATACCCTCTACTATATATACCACTGACCGCGCTACGTCCATGCCTTGTGTTACACTACTACTCATTGCCTTCTTCTTGCTTGACCCTATTTTAAACACGACGCTCCTTATCTTGTCTTGCACAAAACTCCAGTCTACTACATTCCTCCCACTCAACTCGCTCCTTCCTCTCATTTAAGACTACACTACTACTACTCAACACTCACACTCACACATACACACTACACTACACTACCTACCACCATCTCGGTCACCATTGCTACCAACAATCCCACCGCAGACATGGGTGGCAACACTGAACATATAGTCGGCCACGGCTATCTCTCCCTCGGCCAGGCCGTCAACGTTGCTCAAAACAGTGAAGGCGGTGTCGACCAGCGCCTCGCTCAGTTTCTCGAAAAACGCCTTGCCGAAGTCTGGGCAAAACTAAACGCTCATCCCGGATCCTACGTTCTTCCTCCAGACGAGTTTGCTCTCTTGAACTACTACCGCACACGCTTTGGAGACAACGAGATCGTACGAAACGCCACTAAGCGCTTTTGGGACAACCACAAGGGCAGCCAATAGCCCCGTCGCCTTTCTTCTTCCCACCCCACCCAACCACAACCAGTCAGGAGCACGGCAACCATTTCTCGCACTTTGCCAGCCAGTATTTCAATATCGCTGCAACCATGACCGTCTCAAGTTGTCATTTATTGCTCTTTCCACGAGACGCCGCCTGGCCCTCTATTGATTATCAAGGTACACAACACCTTCCTACTGCCAAGTACAAGCGCTCACACTCGTCAGAAAGCAGTCACAAATCGACCTGACCTGCTTCGTCTGGGTTTTGACGGCGCACCTATATACCGGGATTTTTTTCTTATTTTCTTCCCAAGATACCTCTGAATACGGAGTTTACGGCGTTTTGAGCATCATACCACTGCCGACCAGTCCTCGAAACGACACGGGGCATCATGCATGGTCGGAGTTACGAGAGCGATGGAGTCTTTGGATGGCGTTATGGTGGATTTATAGAACTGGCCGCGGCGTCACTTGGACGAGCAACACCTAGCTCCGTCCTCATAACAATGTTTTCAATGCTAATCACCCTGTCCCAATCCGCCGATGTTCACAAGGGCCCGAAGAGGCCCCCTCCCCTACTCCAGTGCCTACAGCCCGTGCCGCCAGTCCTCAGTCCAGTGGACGGATGTCAACAGATTATCATGGAGCACACTTTTGCCTCCTCTTACGGTCAGCCATTTGTCAGTGAATACAATCCTCCCGACTGCAGCTTCAACAGGGTTACTTTCAACTTCACCGTCACTTCCGCCGGCACACAGTTTGACAGGCTCGGCCTTATGTTCCTTGATGACACCGAGGTTTTTCGGACTTCGACTGCAGAGCCAACGCAGACTGGCATCATTTGGAGCTACGTCAAAGACATGAGTGGTTATTTGAGCCTGTTCAAGAAGCCGCATAAAATCATTTTCGATCTAGGAAACGTCGTTGATTATAGGTACACTGGCTCCTGGAATACAACACTGACGGCAACCTTCTTTACTGCGGACGACGAGATTGAGCCAGCAGATGTCATCATTCCAATTTCTGCTCGGAAGTCTGTCGATGACTCCCCAAGCGCATTCATTGTACCAGGAACTAGAGCAGTCGACAATATCATGTTGCCGCCAAATGCCAAGAAAGCCGTGGTGACCATTTCCGCTTGTGGACAAGCTGCCGAGGAATTCTGGTGGAACAACGTACTTTCTTCCGACACCAGTGTTTTTGGGGTAGACAAACCGCTACATGGTTACTCGCCCTTCCGAGAGATTCAACTCCTCATTGATGGACAGTTAGCTGGGGTTGCTTGGCCTTTTCCAGTCATCTTTACTGGAGCCTTTCTCCCAGTGTTATGGCGACCAGTAGTAGGAATCGATGCATTCGACCTCCAAGAAGACGAAATCGACATCACACCTTTCATACCATTACTCAACGATGGCAAAAATCATATATTCGAAATTCAAGTTCTAGGTATTGCCGATGATGGAAATGGTACGGGCACGTTCACGACAGCTATTGAATCACATTGGGTCGTCACTGGCAAAGTCTTTGTTTGGCTTGACGCAAACACCACGCCTCTAACGGGAACGGCACCCGTGTCAGGCTCAGCCGCTTCTATTCGGCTGTATTCTGATACGAAGGAAGGCACATATAGCGCTGGTGTTTACTCTTTAACTTGCTCGGTCCAAGTAGCACGCAGCATATACATCGAGTCGACATTGGATACTGCTGATGGACGAAGGACGGCCGTATGGAGCCAGAATTTGACTTTTTCCCATATGGGAACGTTGAGCAACATGGGAAACGATCAAATTACGCGCCAGTCTACTGTTGGTAAACAAGCTACACTAGCGGGTTACTCGAAGAGTTTCGAATATCCTCTTTGGGCCCGTTGGTCATCCGAGATCGCGCTGGATGGCAATATCAGCATTGATGCAAGCATGCGGCAAGGAAAACAGGCGCAGCAGTTGGGTGACCTAGCATTTCCTAACAGTTGGAAGACGTTTGACTACACTCGCTTGCCAACAGCGTTTTCTCCCAGACGTACTTTTCTTGGCTCCAACATGAACAACTCGCAGAATGCTACAGCACGTGTCCTGGCCCACCCTTCTCTAGGGAAATCGTATCGCTCAAGTAGCACAGAGCAGCATATGACGCTTAGCGGCGTTGGCACTGCACATGAGGGAACTGTGGTCCAGGATAGCACACGTGTCCCCGACCGAGCTGGGCAAGTCTGGTCAGCAAGACCCCCTTATCAGGAACTATACGAAAGGAGAATTGTAGCGGCCAACAAATCGGTCGTGTATGACGGTGAAAGTTACGGCGGTCAAGTCCGCGGTCAAAGCACCTTTTCCGCTGCCGGTGGGCAGGAGGTCAATGGCGCCGGTCACGGTGGGGCGCACGAATTTGCGGCAAAGCCAATCGAGGCAAGACTAGGGCGGGGACCCGCTTTGGCGGGAACTTTGACGAAGGTGGGGACTAGGAGAAGAGCAGTGTGGGACTAGGCAGGTCTACCGATGCCGTGTAAGCAGCACATTTAGATGGGCAGACAATACGACATAGCATGCAAGCAGGGGCATTTGGGGCAGTTTTCTGCTGGTGCCATGGAAATTTCCATGTTTGGTAACAAACCGGTAACTGTCATGTCGCTTTGGGATAGGGGGGGGCAATGCGCTTGGAAGCGACGTCTTTCATTTTCTTCATTTATAGTAGTTCGCTTAGCTTGGTAGTCCCACCGCATGTATAGTGCATGCACACATCTCCGTTGTCACACTACGCCATTGATCAGCAATCAAAAACGCACGCCATGCACGCTGTTGGTGGTGCTCTGGATCATGCTCTTGCGATTGAAGCACGTCGATCTTATCGGTTCGAAGGGGCTCTTACGAATGCACCATTCAAAAGCGGTGTCTTTGGCGTGACATGCGGCTGCAGCGACTGCATCCGCAGAGGGGAAAAAAATCAAACAACAATAAGGCCAAAAAAAAGAGGCACGGATAGATTAGTTATCTCCCTTCCGCCACACTTTGTGTCTGGCTCCTGGGCATTCGTGCGTTCCTAAGCCAAAAACGCGTCACGCTGCGCCACTAAATCTCCGTGTTCTTTGACCACCACGTCGGTTGCGGGTTACAAAGTTCCACAGTATGTCAATTTGCAAATCTTATATACAGAATAGGCCCTTGCCAAGCACAGTAGTTTTCTAGGCGAAAGCCTTAGCAACCGTGAAACTTTCGCTTACACCAGGGCATCTGCCGCCTGAGCGTCCATGTTCATGCAGCTGCCGCTCCACCCCCCCCCCCCAATATCAACTTTTTTTGGATGCACGGAAAATCGTGGCTGCATGTACCCGACGGCGACTTGTGATGGGGCTACACATACATATGTATGTACTGTACATCATGGCCAGGCACCGGGGAGGAGGGGAGTGCATGCCACGGTCGACGTGATTTGACAGTATTTGACCGTGTCGGGCGTAACCAGAACCTAACGCATGCGGCACCGCGAAACGGCATTCCTTGTGTTGTATTCTTCTTTTCTCAACTAGGCGTGTAGTGCTGTGGCTAGTGGCGTTGCGAAGCGCCCCCCCCCCGTCTGGGTACGCATGCCGTCTTTTGCGCAACTGGAGCGATAATGACCGCCCTTGCCATAGCCGGGCTCTTTGTGTGAGTAAGTAAGGCACTCACCTGAAACCCGGTCGCAGGCACAAACGAAGGCGAAGATGTGGGGAATGGGTGCCGGCAAAGCAGACGCCTTAGGTCGCACATTGTGCCTTACTTGGTACTATAATATTACACGCCTCAGATACGTGCAAAGCGAGCAACGAAGGCTTCGCTGCGGGCAATTGCTGGCGCTTTGCTCCTTTGGGCGGTCGGAGGCAAACATGTCGGTAGTTGCGCATTGGCGCGCTTAAATGGCCAATTTCCAACTCGTCCGGATCCAAGCGTCGTCGTTTGCTTTGACGCGCGCTCCCGTGGGGTGCGTGTAAGCGGGAGATTTGCAGTGGATCCGTGCAGGCGCCGCGTCTCCTCGTGGCAAGCCTGAAACGCGGGTAATGTGCTTTAGACCATGGCCGTGTTGCTGCTAGGCCTTGCATGCATTATTTCGACGTTGTCATATACCTCACGCGACACGAGCTGAAGGGGGGCCCCGCGGCCTCCGGCCTGCCTGACCAACCCACCCACCGCTCCCAGGGGGTGCACTTCGAAATCTTTAAAGTTTTGCTCCTCGGCATCATGATGTCATGGCTCTGGACGAGCACGAAAAATTGAAACTCCGGCCCTGCACTTCTCGGCACTTTGTCCTCGCAGCCCGCACAACTC